TGGAAAGTATGGTAAAAGTTTTGTGACCTTTGATGCAATTTACTCACCTTAAAATGTTTTGATCTAGCTAAAAATATATTTTTGAGTAGTTTCTTGATAATTTTTTTATAAATTTTGTGGTTCAAAATTGATAAATGGAGTATTATGAATCTCATGAAATGTACTTTTAAAAATGAGTTTGGAAAAAAAAATTGGAACAATGGGGCGAAATGATACACTATTTAAATATGAATAATATATTTATACATTTAGGTAAAAAAAAAAATCTTGTTTTGTTGTAAACGGTAAGTTTATTAGTGAATGATAATTGTACCCTTACAATTCTAGAAATTATTATCGTTGTATCCCTAATATTTCCTTATAAATATAGAATTTTGGTTCTTAATAAAACACACAACAATCTATACACCTTTATTGTCTTTTCTCTTTTTATCTCTTTTCATAATAAGCTTAATTTTTAAAAATTTAGTGAATGTAGTAATTTTTTATAAGCATAAATATTTATCACATATACTATAAGTAATTTGATGACATGTAAATTTTTTTACATATATGTGCATCAAAATGATGCTGCTTTTTCTCCTATGTTTTTTCGCTTATACGCAAATCTATAATGATTATTTTATTATATACATAATGATTACATTGTCCTATTTGCATATCTATATATGAAGTCAATTTATGTGCGTGTTTGGAAGATTTTTTTTTTTTAACTTATACATTTTTTGTAATTAATTTTTCTATATAAATTCATATCATAAATAAATATTTTTAGATATTCTTTTATAAATTTTAAATTAGTAATTTATCATGTTCTTGTTCCTGAAGTAGCACAACATTATAGTTAATATTTTAGAAGAATATTATGTTTATCGCCCTTGAAAATTATAATATTATTTTCAATATTCTAGAAAAATATTGATTTATTATTATTGAAAAAGCAATAATTAAAGAAAATATATTCTCGAAGTAGCACATTTTCAAATAATATATCATTTTAAATTCATGTTTATTGTTAAAGGAAAACAAATAACTAATGTCATGAGGACATTGATTAGTTTGATTATTTGAATGATATATGATTATATAAGTTTTAATCAAATTTTTCAAAATTAAAACATCGAATTATATCTCATATTGAACCATAAGTTTAATTTGACTTTATTATTTGACATAACCAATTGGATCGTCACTAAATTAATAATAATGCGAAATTAAAAATTCAAATAGATTCATTAACCATCAATAACAAAAATAGGGACTGAATTCCCTATATTTCTAGAAATTAATTAAGGTGATAAATTAATTCCATCATCTTCCACTTTAATAATCTAAATATTAGTTGTATTTAATAGATTTGATACGTATATTAGATGATTACATAGTGTTTGCATCCTGAAGTTTACAAAATTGCTGTTCAAATTTATAATTATGAGCATAATTTTCAAATTATATAATTAATATTATGTTTTATTAATGCTAGTGGGTATAAATCTCAACATTTTAATAAGTGTTAATTGGGATATCGATAAATGGTTTTGACACTATTATTTGTTAAACACCTCCAATTAATTGAATTGAGAATAAAGTACTTCCCATGTTTGTTTAGGAAATTCTATTACGCATCATGATAATATATTGTTCTACCCATTATAATTGGTTTATGGTTAGAGCCTGATTTCTTCATCAGATTGTTTGATAGTGCAATTAATCAACTACATTGCAGTGAGATGAAGTAAAGATGCTAAGAATAAATGCGTAGTTTGAATCTTTATCCCAAATGAGCAATGTTTACAATGTTGGAAGATTTATTGTCAATTTAATCGGACAATTTTCTCAGCATTACGAGGAATTAAGAAATTGAAAATAATGTATAAATGTATCATCATCTAAATTCATTATAAAATATCATTTGAACAAGAAGTTCAAAAGATAATTTATTTATAAGCATTTACTGATCAAGGAGATAAAAAATATCTCATGCACTAGTTTTATGCTCCAACACGAATCGATATTTTATGAAGATAATTTGTTAGCATTATATTTGATATATTTATGACACGCCTAAAATGTGACAATATTCGATTCTAATACAAAATTTTTCACACGAAAATAGAACAATTAACAAATATGATTTCATTATAAAGACATGTATTTTTTATGAATATTTAGACATAACAAATTATAAAATTTCAGAAGAGATTCGGGTGCCTTAAATAATGAAATTTGAGATACATTTAGAAGTTATATCATTATGAAAAAGAAATAATCTCGAAAAGAAAAATTGTCAACAACAATTTTGCACATGACGTATTGCATCATATAGCAAGAAATTAAAATAAATATGTCGAAATAATAATAGACCGAAAAATTGGACGCATATAGTATAATAGCCTTAGCGAATATTTGTTGAAGGAATACTATAAAAATGACTCTTCAGGAATTTCAATTAAATTTAAATTATCAACATAAACTGCCACAATTGCAAAACTACAGATTATTTGAAAAATAAATTTGAGATGAAATAATTGGGAAAAACTAAATTATGTCTTGTCTTGGTTTGCAGATTGAACATTTTCTAGAATGATTATTTGTTCATCGATATACATATACAGAAAAAGTTTTAAAGCTCTTTTATATGGATAATGTATATTCATTAGCATTACCTATAGTTATTTGATTACTCGATGTGAAAAAATCAATTTCGTTTACTTGAAGATGGATAAAAGGTTTGGTCCTGTGGATTCCATTTTCAACAAATTTTTTTTTTATTTTTATTTTGTTTGATTGCACAATTTTCTTGACGATTCCTTTTCCCTCTTCCCCACGACATGTGAACAATTTCCTTGGTTTTGTGGAAAATCTTCCCACCAAACCCACTGGAATTGGTATTTCAGTTGTCATTTTTTTGGCAATGGAAACAAATTATATCCACAATCGTAACAACTTTGTTCCTTTTAATTGACAATTTTCATGAAAAATAAAGTCAAACGAATACCAAAACATCCAAAATTTTAACATTTTTTTCAGGTAAAAAATTATACCAATCAAATACATTTAATCGACAATTTTCAAGAAAACAAATTCTAGACAATTTAATTCCCTGAAATTTATTTTATTTCCACCCAAATTTCATTATTGCAATCAAACGGACCCTTAGTGTAATTGGAGCATTAACTTATCTTGCAAACTGAACTCGACCTGAGATAATTTTTCTGTAAATCTCCTTGCAAGATATACTTTTACACAAACTCAAAGACGTTGGAACGGTGTTATATATATTTTTCGTTATTTGAAAGGTATTATTGATTTGAGATTATATTATTTTCAAAAGTTAAGATCCACTTTCGTGGGATATGCAAATATAGGTTATCTTTCTTACCCGCATAAAGTTAAATTACAAACATGAAATGTGTTTACAAGTGGAAGAACAGTTATATCATAGAGATCCGTGAAAGAATTTTTGATAATAACATTCTAAAATCATTCTGAAATTATTGCAATTTATGAAGTAGACCAAGAATGTTTATGGTTAGGAACATAACCATCATATTTAAGCATCATACGAGTTAACTTTAATAAAAAATAGTCAAACAATTTTGTATGAAGACAATGCAGCTTCTATTGCACAACTCAAAGAAACTATGTCAAATGTGACAGGACAAATAATATTTCTCCAAAATCATTTCATACATACGAGCTTCAAAAGAAGGACAACATCGATGTCCAACAAATTAGCTCAAGCGACAATGTAAACGATTTATCCGCAAAAGTATTGCCGACTTCTACATTCAAGAAATTGGTTCATAAGATTGTATTGTATCCACTAAAAAATTTTCAGTGATCAACATCAGAGGGAATAGCTGTACTCTTTTTCTTTCGCTTAGGTTTTATCCCACTGGATTTTCCTAACAAGATTTTAATAAGGTAGTATTTACTTTTAATATTTCAAAATAATTGTACTTTTTTTTCCTTCGTTTAATTTTTTGTCCTATCAAATTTTTATCAACAACGTTTTAAGGAGACAAATATTTGTAATATATTATTTAAAGAGTGTGTTATAAATAACATGTTTATTAGTGAATGACAATTGTATTCCCGCAACCCTAGAAATCATTATTGTCATATCCCTAATTATTCCTCATAAATATAGAACTTTAATTCCTAATAAAACACAGACAAATCTATATACATTTATTTTCTCTTATCTTTCTCTCTTTTTTCATAATTTGTTTTAATTTTTTGTACACTACTTATTTTAATTCTAACTATGGCCCTGTCTGTCATCCTTTAACAAAATAAATTATTAGCTACAGTAATATTTTTCACTACACGTTTACACAATAAAATATTCTACGCACAAATCAATAAATTTTTTTAAAATTTTAACCATATATTCTTCAAAAGTTACTATTCAAAACTCTATATATTCTCTCAGAATGAGATACAAGCAAGTAAACAACTATTAATTTTTTGTTTGATTGCAAAGATGGAATTTGGGTGGAAAGAAAACGAATTCCAGGAAATTGAATTGTCTAGAAATTGTTATCTTGATAATTGTAAATTATTGCATTTGATTGGTATAATTTTTCACGTGGAAAATATTGAAATGAAAGTGTTTTTTGGTGTTCGTTTGACTTTGTTTTATATGAAAATTGTCGATTAAAGTGATAACATTTATTGGTATTGGCGATGAAATTTGTTTCCGTTGCTAATTTTTTTTTTTTAAGAAAATCATCTATCTTTTAGTGTTCGTTTGACTTTGTTTTACATGAAAATTGTCAGTTAAAGGAATTTTTTTTTACAATAATTATTATAATTTGTTTCCATTGCAAAAAAAAAAAAATAAAAAAAAAATAATAATAAAGTGTTGCTGTAACCGAGAATTCCAATTCTCACTATTTTGGTTGAATTGATGGAAAATGCTGATGTGGCAAGAAAGTGAGAATTTCAATTCTAGAAAAAAAAGTTGGATAATCAAACATCTAAAAGTTGGAACCGGAAAAAATGGTGGAATCAAACACCACCTTAGAACTCTTTTAAACCGTAGCTAAACATGAAAATCCTGCACTGTCATCTCCTTGTGTACAAATGAATAGTTTAGCCATGGCAGCAGCAACTGCTGTTTACCCTCTTTCACTCACGACTTCTCGTCACAACTGTTTTCCGCCTACTACCCTAACATTTTCCAAAAGGCCCTCCTCGTCCCTCCAATTTTCTTTCCAATCCCAATACGACGCCAGTGCAGATGTACAAGAGGAAGATAGCGTCATCGGCGACTGTCTTGTCTTTGAGGAAGGCATTTTTGATGACCCATTTCTCCAAAAAAGCCCCGACTTCAGAAATGGTGAAACCCAAATCAGTACAAGTAAAATTAGTAAAAGTAGATGTAAAATTGATAAAACAGAGATTAATCAAGAAAACTTGATTCCAGAAAAATGGTTGGAAATTCAGAGGGAAATTAGCATCACGAAGAAGGAGAGGCGAAAGCTCGCACAACAACTGGAGTACGGAAAAAAAGTGGAGAAGAGAAGGCAAGGGCTGAGACCTATCAGTATAGAGGATTTCAACAAAGTTAAGGATGACAAATTGAAGCA